AAAAAAATATTATCATTTTTTTTAAATAAATAAATATTTAATAATTTATTTATAGTTGAATCACATCATGTAAACAATTATATAGTTTACTTCAATCAATAGTTAATATATATATATATAAATATCTATTTAATATAATTAATTTTTTTTAACAAATAAACAGAAAATTAATTTATTAATTTTTACTATTAATTAATAATAATTAATAGTTAAAAAAAAAATATTATCAATAGTGAATCAATTAATAGATAATTAAATTAACAATAAAAAAAATATTATTTATGATATTTTCAAATTTTTCATTAAGTAGTTAAATACACACACACACACATTAATTTATAATTAAATTAATTAATATAATATAATATTTTTTTATTAATTATAATACTATATATAATTTTTTTTTAATATTCCACCCCTCCTATCCATCCACCCCCACCCACCCCTATCATAGTGTAATAATATAACCTGGTATATGAGCTGCGATTTTCAAATGCATATACTATTATATTTTGTCATATATTTCTACTATCGTTCAAAACTATTAAGCAAACTATATATCGGACTAATGATTATCGCGGGCTTTGCCATACCGGTGCTCATTGTAGTGGCCGGTATTTCCGATGCACCTAATCCATCAATATTTTTGCACCCGCAAAATAGGTATATATATATATATTATGTTAAGTTATTTTTGTGTGTAATTGATTGAAAATTTTATTGAATAGGTTTCCCATTGAAAAAGTCGGTATATTTATATTTGCAACTTATAATCAATTGATACCATATTTTTTCGGTGTAATTATGGGCTTAATATTAATAAGAGAATCGCAACCCTATATTAGTAGTGTAAGTATTATTATTTATTATTATTATTATTACTATTACTACTACTACTACTACTACTACTACTATTATTATTACTACTACTACTACTACTACTACTATTATTATTACTACTACTACTACTACTACTACTACTACTACTACTACTACTACTACTATTATTATTACTACTACTACTACTACTACTACTACTACTACTACTACTGCTACTACTACTACTACTGATAATTGAATTTTAAAAAAAATAATTATTTTATTTAATTATAAATAAATTATTTTATTTTATTAAATTAAAAAAATAATTTATTTAATTAAAAATTAAATTATTTAATTTGATTAAAAGAAATAAATAAATTAAAAAAAATTATTTTATTTAATTAAAAATAAATTATAAATATTTTTGTTGTCTCTCTCTCTCTCTCTCTCTCTCTCTCTCTCTCTCTATTACAGAGATTATGTTGGTTTCTATGGCTAATATCGTTGCCACTGGTCATAGCCATACCGTTCCTGTCCCATGGTTTTGCCTCCAGCGACACAGTTATCGACGATAACCCCCTGGAATCGGCCATCAGTTTCGGTATCATACGGCTGTTATGGTCGGCCGGGCTTACGTGGCTATGTTTTGAATGTGCATCGGGTAGGGCCGGTTTTATCAATCGTATGCTCAGTGCTAGCTGTTGGCAACCCCTGAGCCGACTGACATTTAGCATATATCTCATACATATCGTACCGATTTGGCACAACTTTTTCCGTATCCGATCGCCGATAACCATAAGCGAGGAAAGTCTGGTAAGTGATTGTATTTTTGTTATAATAATAATAATAAAAAATTATTTTAATATAAAACAAATAAATAATAATAATTCAACAACAAAAATATATCTATAGATTAATAATAATATTTAATTTAGTTATTAATTATACAAAAAAATTTTTTATATTTTTGATATTTAAATAATTTTTTTGATAATATAACAAAAATTATTTAAATATAAAAAATATAAACTTTTTTTGTATAATTAATAACTAAATTATTTATTTCGGATTTTTTTTAAACAAAAATTTATTTAAACAAAAATTAAATATTATTATTATTAGTAATCTATAGATATTTTTTTGAATTATTATTTTTTTGTTTGTTTTGTTTTATTTGACTTTTTGAATTTTTTTATATATAAATATTTCAAAATAATTTAATAGATACTAAAAACACATTTATTTTTTAATAATAATTAGTTTTTTAAGAAACAAATATTTAAACAAAAATTTAGATATTTATCATAATGTTTATAATGATTTTTTTTTAAATAAATTTTACTAAATTTTAATATTGTTTTAAATGCATTGTTTTAGTTTTATGTTATTAACGATTAATTATTAACTAAATTATTAAAATATTTTGTTACTGTATTTTAAATATTATATATATGTTAAGATTTATATATGTTATTTATTTTTTAGGGACAGTTTGTTTTTTATTACATATTTACATTATTTAAATATAATTTATACAATTATTATATATGTTTTTTGAATACATTTATATTATATAAGTGTATATGTTTTGCTAACCTAAATAATATAAATTTAAATTGCATATAAATAGTTAGATTAAATAAAATCACAATTTATTTACTTATTAATATGTGGTTAATTTATGAGCAGATTTTAAATTTTTTATTTTTTTTAAATAATTAATATTAAAAAAAATTTTTTTTTTTAAACTAGATAAACAAAATAGTCAGTTAAAAAAATTATTAATATTATTATAATATATTCTATTTGTTTTTATTATATTTGTTTAAATAATATTAATTTAAAAAAAACAATAAAAATTATTAACTATTGTCTATATTATGTGTTTATGTGTGGGTATACTGTATACGATGTTATACATTGTTTTTGTAAAAATATTAAATAATTATTTTTTTTAAAAATACTAAACAAACAAAATGTAAACTTTCACACACACACATATATATAAATATATACTGTATATTTATATATATACACATACATACACACACACACACACACATATATATATATACTGTATATACACATACACACACATACAAACACATACACACACATACACACATACACACATACACACATTTACACACATACACACACATACACACACACATACACACATACATACACACATACACACACATACACACACATATACACACATACACACACTTACTCATACACACATACACACACACACACTAAAACACATAACTTTCCCCACAAAAAAAATTTAGTTACATATATATATACTGTATATAAATTATATCTAATATCTAATCTCATGGACTCTCTCTCTCTCTCTCTCTCTCTCTCTCTCTCTCTCTCTCTCATTGCAGCTGTTCATCGCCTGCGGCAATGCTGTCGAGGCACTGGTGTTGGCCTATCTATTGTACTGTATGTTTGAGGCACCGTATGTTAATCTATGTAAACTGGTATTTATGCCATCGATAAACAAACACATCACCAATAGTAGCAGCATCGCCACCACCACTACCAGCATCCATGGTTGTCATCAGCATCATACACATACCGGTGCCGCCAGTATTGGTGGTATTACTATAACTACTATCAATGACAGCAATCCAATGGTTGAACTTAAAAGGACTAAAGATAATAATAATAATATCTAATATATAATATAATATATATGTATTTTAATTATAATAAAATTGTTATTTTTTTATTTTTTATTATTATATTTAAATCCAATTGTCATTGAGATTATTATCTATCATCTTAATTATCAATTATTATATTATTTTTTATGTTTAAAAAATAATAATAATAATAATAAACAATTTATTATCTGATGAAATTAAAAAAAAAATTATATTATATAATATCTTTTTGTATATATTATATATTAATACAATATATAAAATATACAATAATACAATATAATACAATAATATATATATATATTATATACACTAAATATTTTAATACAATTTTTTAATTATATTTAATTTACACATTTATATAGTGTTTATTTTTGATGATAACAATTTTTTGATAATATAATAATAATTTATATTATTATTATTATTAGTATTGTTAAATAAAAAATTAATTAGGTGAGTGTCAAGGTTTTTAATTTTTAATAATAATAATAAACAAAACTAATCAAACAATATTGATACTAATATTTATATAATAAATAACTTAATTATTATTATTATTGTTTTAAATTTTATTTTCATTGGGTGTTATTTAGGAAATTAGCAAAAAATAAATAATAATAATTAAATTGAAATCAATAAAAATAACTATTAGTTATAGTATTAATAGATTTTATTTTATTTATTTTTTTGAATTATTAATAAATATTTAATGAATTTATAATAATATTTTTTTTTAATTTACTTCACTGTATATCTAAAATTATAAAAAATTAAACGGTTCATTAATTTTATTAATATTAATAATAATAATAATAATAATAATTATATTAAATGCTATTTTAAAATATATATATAAGTGTAGTGTGAAAAATGTGTCACATTTTAAATTAAAATTTTTATTTAGAAACTTATTGTAAGTTAAATCTGTATATTAAATAGTAATATAATTTATAGACATTTGTTATAAATTTTTTATTTTAGAGATTATTATAAAATAATATGTAAAAAAAATTAAACAAAAAATTGTTTTTATATAAATTAAAAATATTATTATTTTTTATTATTTATAATAAAATTAATTATATAAATTAATAATTTTTACAAAAAAAAATACTAATAATATTTTTTTTTTAATTTATTTATCTATAGATTATCTAATAGATAAACAAAAAATACAAAATATTTTTTAAAATATAAGATTATAAATATATTAGTAATAAATAAATATTAAATTAGTTTTTAAATGTTTTTTTTAAAACATAGATTTTTTTAATAACCTTGTTCCAATTTGGCATTATATTAAATATATATATATATATATTTGATTTTTGATAATTTACAAACTTATGATTTTTTTTCAAAAAAAAAATTAATTAATTAGAAAAATACAGTATATTTTTTGTATATATAAATATTTTTTTTCAAAAAAAATTATAAATATATTATAATATATTAATCATTAACAAAAAAATTTAGAAAAACATAAGTTCCCGGGAACTTTACTATTTAATAGGAACATTGATTGATTGTTGTTGACGGGGGGTGTGGGGGGTTGGGGGTGGAAACAGGAACTACAGTCTAATATCGATAATACTATCCATAGTATCATAGATTGGATCCAAACTTTTTGGGCCACCGTTAGCTTTATCGGTAGTATTAACCGTACCGTACATTGTTGTTGTTGTTGGTTGACTATCGGCCAGGTAGGCACTGTTATCTATACCACCACCACCACCATCATTACCAACCTTACTGTCCACTACTAGGCCATTACCATTAGGCTGATGATGATGACCAGCATCACCATCACCAGCACCTATACCAACACCATTATCTTTAGCATACTTATCACGTTTGGCTAAGTACTGGTGCCTAAACAATCGCATCTTACGAAAGGCCAGTCGCATATTGATGTCATTCCCGATCAAAAATTTCAATAAAAAATTTTGACAAAACGCTACCACAGTATGCGGTAGATAACCGAAAGTACGGGACTCTATGCCAACAGTTTTCAGTGCCGACTCAACAAACTGGTCACTCGACGGTATCATAAAACTACGGGGCGGGTTGCGTATCATATTAGTGGACACATAATAGGGTAGTACCGATTGGATGACTATACCGCGTGACCTGTATTCGGCATTCAATGCCCGGGACAGGTAGTCGCCGTAGATTTTCGATGCCGAATACAGGGCCAACAATGGTGTGGGAAAACAGGCCGAATACGAGCATACATTCAATATAATACCCGATCGGTTGGCAACCATACCGGGCAATACCAGACCGATCAGTCGGGTCATCGATCGACAGTTTACGTTCAATATTTGACGTTCAAATTCCCGCCGATTAGCCAATCGGGTGAAATATTCGGGGTATCGGTAGGTCATACCGACATTGTTGATCAGTACATGTATTTTCTGGTGTAGTTTACCGGCAAGTTCTTCACCAATACTATCGTATAGGTTGTCCTCATTATCGTTATCATCGGCGCTAAAGTCTATTTGAATTAACTTAATCCGCGGGCACTGTACGTATAGCTTATGTATCTCACTTTTGACTGACTCTAGTTTATCCAGTGATCGGCTCATCAATACCAAGCTATAGCCTTTCCGGGCCATAGCTTTGGCATAGGCCAACCCAATGCCGTCGGTAGCGCCAGTAATGACGGCCCATGTATCCGGTCGATTGCCCTGCCAGCGGACACCGGCACCCATATAGTAGGCCAACAGGTAGGTCCATACGAGTTGCGGTAGTTTCCACAATAGTAACAAAACAATTACTAGAGTCAGCAATGATAGTAGCAGTAGGAGTATCAATGGTACGGTAGTTAAGTTAATGGTAACTGTTTGTTGATCACTACTACTGATGATGGCGGGAACGGTAGATATGGTTACATTGATTTCCATGATAGTAGTGATGATGATAATGTTGAAAATAATAATAGTAGTGATGATAACATTTTTATTTAGATTATTATTATTATTATTAAATATATATAAATAGTTTACTACATCATAATCACACAAATAATACAATTATTTATTTTTTTTTGGTTTATTTAAATAAAATTTTTTAAAAAATATATATAACTTTGAATCATAAATTGAGGAAAACTTTTATTTTATTTATTTATTTTTGTTGATGAAAACCTAATTAAACAAAAAAGTTTACAAATAATAAATTCAAACATAAATATTGATAAAAAAAACTTTTTTAATAAAACTTTTTATTTATTATTTTTTACTGTATTTTAATACTGTATTTATTTATATAAAATACTTATTAGAAATTATTTATGTAATCATTTCTATTGAAATAAATTACTTTTTTAAAAAAAAAACTTTTTATTTTATGACAATTTTGTTGTTGTTGTTGTTCAACAAATGGGACTCTCCTATGATGTATAGGTATTGTATGTTTATTTTGAGATACCTGTGCGCGCTTACAAACAGTTAGTGCAATCGACTGGAAAAATGTGTGTGTTTTTTGTTTGGTTTGTTTGTTTCACTATTTAATTATTTATTCAATATAATTCATAACCTAATTAGTTTCATTGGAGGGGGAGGGGAGGGGAGGGAGGGGAACTGGTCCTACAGTCACCCATAATATATATATATATACAGTATATGACAGGTTTTGCCCAATAATGATGCTAAAGCTCAATGATTTTGTTGTTAATGTTGTTGTTATCAGTAAATTTCAATGAAAAGTTTTTTTTTGATAATGTACTGTAATGTTCACTATGTATCTCAATGTGTGTGTGTGTGTGTGTGTGTGTGTGTGTGTGTGTGTGTGTGTGTGTGTGTGTGTGTGTGTCAGTACTGTATGTAATATCAATGAAATTATATTCATATAAATTTATATATAACTAGTTATGAATCTCTCTCTCTCTCTCTCTCTCTCTCTCTCTCTCTCTCTCTCTCTCTCTCTCTCTCAGATACACACATACACACACACACACACACACATACACACACATACACACACATACATACACATACACATAACACACACACACACACACACACACACACACACACACACACACACACACACACACACACACACACACATACACACACACACATACACATACATACACACACACATACACACACACATACACACACACCTACATACATACATATATATACGCACACACATATAAATTTATATATATATATATCATTCAATATCTAAAAAAAATAAATTATACAGTAAATATTTTTTCTCTATTGATACATATAAATTATATAAACTTTAATTTAGTTTTATAAGTATACTAAATATATCATTAGCAATATTGTTTATTTACAATATTTAGTTTAATTTTATAAATTATTACATTTTATTTGATGTACATTTATTAGTTATAGTTATTTACAGTTTAATATACTTTAATTAACTTATTATTACTGTATCTTAAATTAATATAAAGTATATACTGTTTATTTATTTTTGTAGTCAATTTAAACTATTTATTAATACTGTTTTGATCTCAAAAAAAAATATATTTAAATAAAATATTTATTTATTTATTCATATTTATGTTTTTTAATAGTAAATAATTTTTTTATAAATACTGAAAAATACTGATATGTACTGAACTATAATGTTATAAAGTTTACAACAAATTACAAAAAAATTAATTAAATAAATAATTATTATTAATATTTTTGATTAAATATTGTACTTAAAAACTTAACCCCTAATCTATACAATGGGAAAATTGACACATGTATTCAATTAATTTATTTGATTAAACTAATAAATTATCAATTATATAGACAATTATATAATTTATTTTTTTTATTTGGCATAAACATATATATTTTTAATAAAACAAAATTTTATATAAAAATAAGTATATATATACAGTATATATATATATATATATAAATTGTACTAAAAAAATGATAGTTAATTAATAACCTATTTTATTAAATAACAAAAATTAAATTATCTATTTTTAAGTTACTATTTATTACTAGATATTATATATATATATTGAAAATTAATAATAAATTGATTAATAATATTAGTGTGTAATTTATATTTAATATATTAGTTGTATTTCAACAAAAAAAAATAATAATAATATTTTTAATTTATTTAGTTTTATATAATTTTAATAAAAATTAATTATTAAAATTGTGGGGAAAAAAATATGTCACAAAAATTATTATCAGTAATATCATTATTATTGCTAATAATAATAATACTATCGGTGTCTATGGTGTCCACTAAACCAGTCCATCGATGTCCCCGAGCCCTGGATATACAGCCGTGTAGGTGTTATCCCCAGACAAAAGAGATCCGATGTTTCGGTCAATCAATCGACGACCAACTGATGTCGAAAATTGGCCAACAATTGGACCGTACGGGCGGTGGCGGTGGCGGTCATAATAGCCGATACAGTCTACTCTATATAATGAATACAAATATTACCGAAATACCTGACGGACTGTTTCCCCGAACCATAAGTTTTGATAATGTTTTTATTAATCGTAACCAACAATTAAAAACTATTGAATTGAAAGCATTTAATGGCAACCAATTGAATAGTTTTCTGATTGGAAATCAACCAAATTTGACAATTATTTGATAAAATTAATTAAAAATTTAAAAATAAATAATTATTAATAATTACAAAAAAAAATTTTTGAGCTACCATTTTTTTTTAAATAGATAGATAAATAATATGTTTTTTTTAAATATATAATAAAATTTATATCTATATATTTATAAGTTTATAGATTAAAAAATATTTATATAATTATTATTATTATTATTTGTATTTAAAACTATTTTTATTATAATATTTGTATTTAGTGTGTGTGTGTGTGTGTATAATCAGTATTATATTAATATATTATTAAATAATAATAAAATATTCTTAATTCTAATAAATAAATGTTTTTATTAAAATTATTTTTTTTTAAAAAAATTATTAATTTAATATATATTACAAACATTTACAAGCATTTGATTATTTTCAAAAAAAATAAAATTCATATTTAATTCAAATTTTCAAATTGTAATGAAATAATTTATGATTTTAAATATGATATATAAATATAAAATAATTTATATTTTTAATAGTGTTTAGTTATAGTTTAATACAATTTTATTATTGTATTACAATAAATTGTTATAATATTTTTTTGCTTATATTTATGGATATAAAAATAATAATTTCTGTTTATTTATAAAATTTTTTTTTATATAACATTAAAATCTGTATACAGTATTAATTATTATCAATAATAATAATAATAATAATACTATTACTATTAAACTATTAAATAGCAAAATAAATATATTTATTACAAACATAAATATATATATATATATATTAAATATTTAAATAATTTGTTTTAAAAATTTATTTTTATCAATAATATCAACTTTATCATTTAATTAAGTGTAATTAATAAATTATATATATATATATATATATAATTTATTAATTACACTTAATTAAATGATAAAGTTGATATTATTGATAAAAATAAATTTTTAAAACAAATTATTTAAATATTTAATATATATATATATATATATATATATATATTATACCCAATATATTTATTTAATAATACATTTAATATTTATATATTTTTATTATATTTTATTTTTACAATAAATTTGTTTTTTCTATATATATATAATTATTTGATATAATTTTTTATGAATTTATTTATTTATTGTTTTTTTGTGAATCAGTCATTCAAAATGACGGGTAATTCGCAGTCCATTTCAAACGACTGGTCGGGATTGTCGACCACAACACTGACCGTATATCGGATATCAATTACCGGACAGGTATGACAAACTACGGGTAGATCTCGGGGTACAAACAACTGTACGGTTTTGTATACCCGTGTAGTCCTTTCGATAATATGCGATATATTGCGGACAACTGTTTCGGTAGTTTTTCGGCGACTTTCCGGTGCGTAATACATAACCTGTCGTTTGAGGCTAGCCTTCAGTATTAGATCCTTATCCGACTGGTTGTCGACAATACAGTGCACCGGTATGTCCTGGCCTTCACGCTGACCCATTGTATCCAATTCGCAGCGCAAATATATTGGCTGATTGTTTAGCATACCTGTGCTACTATTGTAAGCTCTTTGCTAATTAAAATTAAAAATACAATTTATTTATTTATTTATTATATTTATTTTTATAGATATAGTTATGTATATTTACCGATAGCTGATGATTGGATACATGTGCCGGTCCATTGACAACAATGGCCAGATATGGCCACTCATTAACAGGCATTAGCTGTGTGTCTACCTGTGCCTCAATCCAGTACCTGATGTGACCGTATTTGCCCTCATATGTCGACGGAAAGCCACTTAAAAAAAATGTTTTTTTTTAATATGTATTAATATTATTATTAATTAATTGTTAATTATTGTTATATATATATATATGTTATACCCGTTTGGTAATTGAAATTCAAATTGAATTTTATGATAACCCGGATTAAGTACTGATGGATAGGCTAAACAAAAATATGATATTTTTATTTTATATTTAATAATAACTTAACTTAGTTATCACAAAAATATTATTATTTAAAAAAACAAATTAAATTATTAAAGTATATAATTATTTTTTTTTTTTAATTTTTTAATTTACCATTTAATGGATAGTATTTAAGATCCAGACACTCGTAGTGGCCCTCATGAGGTATGTCCTCAAAAGTGGTATAATAGTTGCGATTTTCGTCCAACCGTTTTGATGGTCGCCTAATAATCCAACCGCAATGGGCTTCGCCTATCAAAAGAAATAATAATAATAATTATTATTATTTATTACATTTATTATTATTATTATTAGTTTAACAATATTATTTAAATTAAAATTTTATTTTTATTATAGCTAATATATAATATATAAATTATATTTATATATATTATATATTAGCTATTGCTATATTTATTTATTTAAATTAAATTTTTATATATAAAAAAATTAAAAATATTTATTTATTTAAGCAATTTTTTAGTGTTGATGATTTGTACTAATTATAATATTAGTATAATTTATAATGATAAATTACCAAAAAACTAGTTAAAAAAAATGTTTATTACTTAAATACTAAAATAATACAGTATAAAGTATATTGATATATAAATATGTAAATATTTTATTACAGTTTAATTGTCAAAAAAAAAACAAAATAATATATAGTTGTCTAACAATAACTATTAATTAACATTTACTAACTAATTTAATTAACTATTAATTAATTAATTAACTATTAACAATAATTATTAATTAAAAATATAAATAAAAATTATAAACTAATAATTTCGTAAATTATTAGTTAATTATTTTTAATAAAAAAAACTAACTGTCCTCTCTCTCTCTCTCTCACTCACTCACTAACCTATTAATGATATATTATTGATGGCACTGGTAGGCAATGGCTGATCATTTTCGACAACCAAATGTCCACTGATTATATCACTGGCCGTATAGACAGTATCGACGACGGGTCGGTCCAAAACTAATGAAATTTTTACTAACATTTATTACAACAACAAAACAATACACTTATGTATCACAAAAAAATATATACAAAAAATAATATATATATATTTATTTTTAATATATTTTTTTTCAACAACAAATTAAATACTACTATATTTAACAAACAGGACTTATATGACAATAATAATAATAATAATAATATTTTATATACATTTTTACACACTATTTAGTGATATTATTATTAATAGTATTATTATTATTAAAATCATGATTTTTTAACCTTGAAAATTGTTATTATTTTTTTTTGTTACTTATTATAATATTATTTGTATTGTATGATTGAAATAATATGAGAGAGAGAGAGAGAGAGAGAAAAAAAATGAAACTAATTATAAAATACTTTATATGTAGTGGGCGTTAGGTATTTAAAAAAAAATATATATAAATATATATATATAATAATGATATTCATGTGATTAGTTTTTATTTTGTAAATAATTATTTTTTTTAGTGAATTTACCTTGAATATTAATATAATTTATATCTATATATACAGTATATATATTTTGCATGATTATAAAACTGTTAGCTATTAATATTTGATAATTTATATATATATATATTTTAAGAAAAAATATAAATAAATATCTAATTTTTTTTACTATAAATTAGAAAATATTTTTCATATACAGTATATATATATTTATATATAAATTAAAAATAAAAATTAAAAATATTTAGATGTGATTAGTATACAATTAAAAGTATTAAATTTTATATTTAATAATAATAGTATTGAAAATCAATTAATTTTTTAAGCTGATTATATTAAAACAAAAAAAAACAAAACAAATAGTTATATTTATTTAAATTTAATAGATTTGTTTTTTTAAAAAAATTACCTAGTATAATTAAAACTTAAATATATATATTAATATTTAATTTTGTTGTTGTTGTTGTTGTTGACTTTATGTTAATACTTTACATACTATATAAACAACAAAAATTATTATTATTATTATTATTTCTATTATACAGTAGATTAAATTAAAAATTTATTTAAAATAAATTCATGTTTTATATAAAAAGATAGACAGAGAGATAGATAGATAGATAGATAGATAGATAGAGAGAGAGAGAGAGAGAGAGAGAGAGAGAGAGAATAATAATAATACTAATAATAATTCAATTAATTAGTTAATAATATTAATTGTATTAATTAATAATAATAATTGTATTAATTAATAATAATAATTGTATTAATTAATAATAATAATTGTATTAATTAATAATAATTTAATTATATACAAATATATTTATTAAATACAGTATTATTAAACAAATAACATATCATGTTAGCATTTAATTATATTGTAAGGTATTTATTATAATGTTAATTAAATAAAATAATAAATAGTTAAATAAATAATACATAATAATAAAAAATTGTAAGAAAAAATTCTATGTAATTTATTGGGGGGGGGGTAGGGGAGTGGGGTGTAATTAATCATAATATAGTATTGCATATTATTGAACCTTACCCAGCACATTTTATATTTACTTACTTTTATATTATAAATTGTTTATTGATTGACAATTACTAGAAATTTTTATGAATATTTAATATATAACAAAATAACAAATAAATTTAATTATTTTTTTAAAATAATAAAAAATTATTTTTTAATTACTTAATTTAGTCTAGATTTGTAAATAGAGACTGATAAAAAAATATAATTATTAAACAATTATTAATTAATAATTACTAAACTAATAAATATAGTTAGTTATTAATTAGCTATAATTATTTATTTTCATAATTATAATTTACTTATTTTACTAATATAATATTTAATAATATATTTATATTTGTTTTTGGTAATTTTTTTTTAAAAAATTATTAGTAAAACAAAATTAGCATTATAAAAGTAATTGAATTTAAATAAAATACAATTATTTAATATTTTTTATTTTTTTAATTATCTAATTAATAATTATAAATAGTTAAACAATATTTTAATAAATTAATAATATTTTACACTACAGTATATAATAATTTTGTTTATTTATATATCTTTATGTATATTATTTATAAAATATAATAATAATAATAATAATAATAATAATAATAATAATAATAATAGTTATTTATTAAAAATATAATACATTTTTAATTGAAATGAAAAGTATTTATTTTTTTTATTAATTTAATAAATATTTATTTTAAAAAAAAAATTTTATATTAAAACTACAAGTTTAATGAGATTTGCTTTTATCAATTTATTACTAAATATTAAATAAATAATACAATTATTGCTATTATATAAAATAAATGTTTTTATTTTCAATTTAACTAATAATATTGTTGATAAAAACTAAAATATGTTTATTTTAATTATAACTGATAATAAATGAATAAATAATTAATTTTTTTAAAAAAAATATGTTTATAATAGAAAATATAATAATTTTTAATTGTAAACAAAAATATATTTTTTTTTTTAAAAACTAAATAAAGATATTTAATAATTTATTTTTTTTTTTTTTAAAAATCATTGAACTAATAAAACAATAATTTTTAAAACAATTACTATTTATAGTTAAACATTAATTAATTAATAATATTATTCAAAAATTTTTATTTATTTTTTTAAATAATTTATTTATTATTATTATTATTAATCAAAGTTTTTTTTATTTTGATAATACAGTATATGTTTTATTTAAACAGTAATTTATTATATTATAATATACAGTATATATGATATAATACTGTAGTTTACTGATTATATTATTATTATTATAATAAGTGTTTTGAATCAATAATATTATATATATTTATCATATTTATGATTGTAATTATACAATATATTTACCTTTATATATATACTGTAAATTTTAAATATTATTTTAATTATAATTATATTTTTTTGTTGTTGATATAAATAAAAAAATGATTAATTAATTAATTAATTATCTAATAATACAAACAAACAAAAACTGCTAATTATTTATACTAATTATTATTTTTAATTATTATTAATAGTCTAATTATTTATTGATTTTATTATATAATAATAATAATAATTAGTATTATTATTATTATATTTTATTTGTTGATATAAATAAAAAAAATGATAATTAATTAATTATGTAATAAAACAAACAAAAAACTGCTTTATCTATTAATCTATTATTTAATAATAATTATTTAATTAATTAATTAATTAATTGATTATATTATCGATTATATTATAATAACTAATAATCACAGGACAGGACAGGAACGGGAATCACGAAAAACAACAGCAAATTATATGACAACAAGTGTCGGCAAATGACTGTTCCCGCGGTTGTTGTTCCCGTTGTTGTGGTTGTTGTCTAACTGTTGGCCGTGTAGTTGTTGTCCAGTGGACACTATCGCCACCGCCGCCTCTACCGCCGAAACTATAGCCTATTTTCTGGTTGCCATTGACAGCAACGGGTTGTTTGGATATCGGCAGCGGCGGTACCGATGACGACGACGACTGCTGTTGTGACGGCGGATTCGGTTCAAACGTCAACTGTTTAAACCCAAACCTCGGGTTAGTCATCAACAGTCGGGAACAGTTGCGCTGATGCCAACATAGGACCCATACCCGCAATCGTCGACGGCCAGTAGCTGCTACCAGTGCTCGGGTAAGTTCAGGCTCGAAACCGCCGTCGCCGCTGATCAGTACCACATGTCTGTCCACTGCCACTGATGACGACTGGCTGTTGTTAGTGTCGGCCACAAATCGCCGTATCTTATCCTTGAGTTTATCGTCGGCATTGTCCTTACCGGTCGGTACCGATAGTACGTCAATCGGTGCCGAATCGTTATCCCTGACAAACAGTGCCCGTAGTTTACTATTTGATAGTATAGACTGTTGACAGGCAACGTAGATCTGGTGTAGTCGATAGCGGTGGCCATTGACGATACCACTGCCGCCGCCGCCGCCGATAGTGTCCACCAATAGTCTGACCTCTTGTTTGATACGTGTCAGTACCTCTTTGACCAGATAGCCGTGCGGTATCGGACAGTTTTCGATGTCCCAGAATATGGCCACCAGTGGCCTATTGTCCACGGGTATCACTGATGATGACATTGAACTACCTGTCCCTTAGATCCGATCTGATGTTGGGTTGGGTCGGGTTGGTTAGTGTGTGTATGTGTAGTCAACTGTGTTCAGGTTGTTTAGTAATATAGTGTCAATGATAAGGATAGGATAGGATAGGATAGGGTAGGGTAGGGGTGGTGGTGGTGGGGAAAGGGATTAGATAACACACAGATAGACAGTGTGTACTACACACTGTGTAGGGTTAGACTTGTGTGTGTATGTATGTGTGTGTATGTATGTATGTGTGAATGTATGTAAGTGTGTGTGTGTGTGTGTATGTATGTGTGTGTATGTATGTGTGTGTGTGTGTATGTGTGTGTGTATGTATGTATGTATGTATGTGTGTGTGTGTGTGTGTTTGTGTGTATGTATATACCGTATATATACTACTAGTGTACAGTTATCTAATAATAATAATAATAATAATATAAATATACAAGTTCATATTACTATACTGTATATTATAATAAATATACAGTATATTTACAGTTGACTACTATAACCAAAAAAAAACTACATGTGCTAACATATAGGGTTGACTTAATTTATTTTAATATTTTTAAAAAATAATTTTAAAATATTTATTTTTTTCATTAATAATAATAATAATTTTTTTTTGTTAACACTAGATATTCCTAAATAATTTTACGGTTAGGGTAGTAGTGTGGGTTATATATATATACTGTTATATATATATATATATATATATATATATATATATATATATAATATTATGAGTGTTTATTACTCTAGTTTAATCAATATGATATTTTGCTTGTTTGTTATTATGGGAAAGTCAACTATTTATATATATATATATATATATTTGAGGGGAAAGTTAGATAATGTACAGTACAGTACTAGTATATAAGTAAAGTGCACTTAATATTAATAGATAAATAGTATAACTATATATAAAAGGGTTAATTGTCTTATAAATATAATAAAACTTACTGTATATTACTATTATCAATAATTTTAAATTAATGAAAAAAATATATTTAAAAAACTTAAAAAAAATAAAATGAAGTATTTTTTTTTGAAATAAATAATTAATATTAATTAATTAATTAATTAATTAATACTACAGTAATATAAAACTAATAGTAATAATAATAATTTTCATTAAACATTATTTATTTATTTATTAGTATTAATATTTATAATATTTAATTTTTTTGATGAAATAAATAAACAATTAATTAATTAATTATTTTTTTAATCAAATTAATGTTTTTTTTAGTCTAATAATAATTATATCTTTTACAAAAAAAATTGATTAGAAAAAAATTAATAAAAATTAATATATTAATAATTAATTAAAAAAAAAATAATAATTTTAACAATTTATGAAAAATATTTGTAAAATAAAAAAAAACTATTGAAAAAAATAACTATTGTTTAATAGCTGTTACTCTAAGCAGCCTATGGTGACGGTTGACTTCCCTAATAGTAGGGTCGGCTAAAAACCGTTTCCAAGCTCCGGGATTGGGTTCGGTAGCCATCGGATTGACTACCGTATCGAAAGCCGTATCCCATAAGTGATCGTTGAGTTCCCTATCGTAAGCCGACTGGTCGTCCTTAAAAAATGGCCTAACCTTTGATACGATGATTGGCATAAAATCTATATTTGAAATTATTTTTATTATTTTATTTTTTAGTTACAAATAATAACATTATTTTTATAATTATAATAATAATTATTATTTTTATAATTATTATTAGTAGTATAATAATAATAATAATATTAATAATTATTGTTAATTAATATTATTAGTATTAGTATATTAATTAATATTATTATTATTATTATAATTATTAGTATATTAATTAATATTATTATTATTTTTATTATTATTTTTATAATAATTATTATTATTTTATTATTTTATAATTATTATTATTATTTTTATAATTTTTATTATTATTTTTATAATTATTATTATTATTATATTAATTATTATTTTTATTTTTATAATAATTATTATTATTATTATAATAACTATTTTTATTAGTATAATAATAATAATAATTATTATTATATTAATTATTATTTTTATTTTAATAATTATTAGTATTATTATTATTATTATTATCAAAAAATCAAAAAACAAACCAATCATTTTCTGTCTATCCGTCGGCCAAATAACATCAATAATATCAAACTGTTTGACCAGAAACTGATTATCCGATAATAGACTTTGACGCCAATCGTCTAATTGTTTTTCACGCGATTGATACCATTTGCCCGGTTGTTGGCCATTGGTGACCAGTTTTTTGTTTAGATCGCCAATAATAAATATATTGGCGTGAAATATACCGCCCGTCGATAGCAATCGGCGAAATATGCCGACCGTACGCCACTTGTCCGGCATATACGATAGGGTAAAGTTTGAGAAAATTAGGTCAACCTTACCGTCCAATTCCCGTACTCGTGGACACAACTCTGGCCACTCGATACTCATATCTTGCAATAGATATTCAATAGTATTGTCATCTGAATGGTTATGACTGCGGGCATAGCTTATCATATCGGGTACGATATCGATGGCCAGTATATGTTTATGCGGTAAATGTTTGCCGAGAAAATGTTTGGTTATATCGCCGTCACCGCAACCGATGTCCACAATCTGGTCATATGGTCTGTAAAAATATAATTAATATTAAATTTTTTTTGTTTAGTTTTTTCCCCTCAAATTACCTATAGTTAGCATCGATTAGACTATCAATTGATTGCATAGCCATTAGTTGGGCATTACTTTTTTGTTTGGCATAAACATCGGGTGCTATACCGTCCATGATTTTTATATAGTACTGTACCGTATATATCAATATATATATAATTAATTTAAAAAATTTTAATATTTTTAATATACATAGACACAATAAAAATTTTTAGGATTAATATTATGTTTTTTTTAAATTAGTTAATTAATTAATTAATAACAAACTAATTTAATAATAATAATATTTAATAATAATAATAATAAAACTAATAATTTTATTATAATGTATATAAAAATAATTATTTACTTAAATTTTTTTTAAAAAAAAAGTTAGATTTATATACTCTTTAATAATTTAAATAATAATTATATATTTCAATAAAAATAGATAAAGTGTTTATATTAATACATTAATTGATATCATTATATATATATTTATATTTATTTATTTTTAAAAAATTTAAGATTAGACCATATTTTTTATATCAAAATTAATTGTAATTATCAATGAAAAAAATGATAAAATATAAATACTAATCATTTATTAATAATTAATAATGAATTTTCTTATTAAGAATCATAAAGATATTGAATTAATTAATTAATTAATTAATTAATTAAATTTTAATGTAAGATATAATTATTTTAAAAATTTTATCTTATGATTAAATTGTAATAATATGATTTTGTAAAAAATTTTCTATTAAAAATTATTTTTATTTATAAATATAATAATTTTTATATTTATTTTAATCTTAATAAACTTTTATTGCAACACACACATATGTATACTCACACACACACACACACACACACACACACACACACACACACACACACACACACACACACACACACACACACACACACACACACACACACACACACACACACACACACACACACACACACACACACACACACACACACACACACACACACACACACACACACACACACACACACACACACACACACACACACACACACACACACACACACACACACACACACACACACACACACACACACACACACACACACACACACACACACACACACACACACACACACACACACACACACACACACACACACACACACACACACACACACACACACACACACACACACACACACACACACACACACACACACACACACACACACACACACACACACACACACACACACACACACACACACACACACACACACACACACACACACACACACACACACACACACACACACACACACACACACACACACACACACACACACACACACACACACACACACACACACACACACACACACACACACACACACACACACACACACACACACACACACACACACACACACACACACACACACACACACACATACAAACACATAAAATAAATAAATATATCAGTAATTAAACAATTTTTTATTAATTAAATTTTAATAATATTGAATTTAAATACTAATAATTGTTGAAAATATTTTGAATTATTAGTATTTAATAAAAATTTATTCAAATAATAGAAAACATTCAATTGAAATGTTTTTAAATCATATAATAATATTTTTTGTGGAAAAAATTAACATTATTTAAGATAATTACAATAATAATTAAAATAATAATTTACATTAATTTTATTGAATTATTAATTGTTGACACATTCAAAATGATATTAGAAATTAAATATCCGATTTAATAACAATTTTGTTAAATTATAGATATATTAAAATCATTAAAATTAAAATATATGGAAATTAGATAACTATAGTCTAAATTATATCATATAAAACATACATATGTATTGATAATTTAAATAAATATTAATTAAACATATAAAACATATATAAAACATAAATTATCTTGTTAAATTATAGCCAAACAAAAATAAATAAATATATATATTTAAAATAGATAACTAGAGTCTAATTAATCCTATAAAAAAAATATTTACGGTTTTTATGGGTTTATTATTATTATTATTATTATTATTAGTATTTATATTAAAATATTATTTTTTTTGTTATTTAATTAAATTAATTATAAAATTAAATTGTTTTAGTTAGTGATAATTTATTTGTATATTTTTATATAAAAAAATTTTTTTTTTTAAATATTTAGATTCGCAAAAAATAAATAATTTTTTAAAGGGTTTTATTTTTCGGTTTTTTTGCTTAAATATTTTAAGCAAAAATATCTCTAATGAAAAACAACTATTTAATAACGTTTTCTGAATTCTATATGTCCTTCAGTCTGTCCGCTTTTTTTAATTGAATTTTTACATTTTTACTTCAGATTCGAATTAAGCATAAAATTTTTAGGTAAAAATTTTAACCTTAAGAATTGTATAGAGCATCAAAAGTAAAGGTATAATAGATCAACATTATTTTTTTGTTGTTGAAAAAATGGCGGCAAAAGTAAACAAAAAATTAAATGTCGTTTATTTTGTCATACTGAATCATTTGATACCCCACTTGACTATAATTGAGTTTATTTAGTCATACTGTCTCATTTGATACCCCACTTGACTATAGTTGAGTTTATTTTGTCATACAGAATAATTTGATACCCTACTTGACTATAGTTTAGTTTATTTTGTCATACTGAATCATTTGATACCCTACATGACTATAGTTGTGTTTATTTTTAACATACTTAATCATTGGATTTTAATATAATTTTTAATTTCAGGCTAGGAGTTCGTATGGAAATGCTTTCTAGCATTCTCAACTGGTTTTAAATATATATATATATATATATATTTGTAAAAGTTTAGTAAAATATTTTATTCAGTATTGAATACAGTAATTATAATTAATTAAATTTACAAAACATTTTTATACCTAATTTTAGATATTTATAGCTAGTTTTGTAAAAAATTTATTTATTAAAAATAATTTTTTATACAAACAATAACTAAAATTATGTTACAATATCTAAATAATAATATTATTACTATATTATCATTAAATCCGTTAAATATTTTTTTAATACTATTTAGCATTTTGTATGCTATCTATAGGTTAGTATATATACTGTATATAATATATTTATTTATTAAAAAAATAATTTTTATTTTCATATATATATATATATTCAATAGATATTATTACAGTACTAATGGATGCAATCATTGGGAAGCACAGGGAGTTAAAACTGTATCGTTTGGTTTGTGGTCTCGTATGACAACCAAATGGTATCGATTGGAACAGGAATTGTACCGAAAATATGGTAAATGTTTCGGTGTCTATGAGGGTAACCGACCCGTACTCTATTTGGCCGATCCTGAACTCATACGGGATGTTTTGGTCAAAGATTTTCATGTTTTTACTAATAGACGGGTAAGTTATGTATATTTATATATCTATGGAAATATTATATATAAACTTTTTGAGAGAGAGAGAGAGAGAGAGAGAGAGAGAGATAAATAGATAGATAGGAATATAAATAGTTTTAATTTTTTATGAAAATATTTTACATAATATCTTATATGTATATCTAGTATATAATATAAAATGATATATATATATATATATATAGTGTAATTATTATTAATATAAAATAATTAATTTTTATTAATTATTTTATTAATTGTTAGAATTTTTGAAGCCATTAAAATAATACATTTTTTAAAAATCAACAATAGATAGAGTACTGTATATATATATATATATGTACAGGTATATACAAATACATATAAATATATATATTTAAAAATAAATTTTATTATATAAATTCAAAAATATTTATAATATAACTTAAAGTATACATTTACATGTAGTATACATTGCATACTGTTAATTGTAAATTATTTTTTTTATATAATAATAATAATAATAATAAATAATAATAATAATATAAATTATGTTTTAAATAAAAAAATTTAAATTAATATTTTTTAAATTTTTTTGTTGTTACTATAATTAGGACGTAAGGGCCGGCTTTCTGATGAACAAAATGATAGCCAATCTGAAAGATGACGACTGGAAACGTGTCCGGACAGTCATATCGCCGACATTTACATCGGGAAAGTTACGCAAAATGTTTCCATTGATTACCGATTGTCTGAAAACATTGAACTGTATGCTGGAAACGGCTTCACTGGCAACTGGCCAGCCGTACGATATGAAAGCCGTTTACTGTGGCTATACTATGGAAGTCATACTACAGGTTTGATTTAATTGATTGATTGATTGATTTTGATTTTGATTTTAAATATAAAAAAATTATTTTAAAAATTTATCAAGTAACATTTACAAACTATATATATATAGATATTTATTAGCAGTTAAAATAGAGAGAAATATACTGTATATATATATATATATATATATATAAATAATTTATAATATATAGTAAAAAAATTTTTATAAAAAAATAATTAATTGAATTTTTTTTACAATATTATATTTTTTTTTTTTTTTTAAAGTAAAGCTAAATACTAATTATAATAAAAATTACTAAACATTATTATTATTATTATTTTCACTGACATTATTAATATAACATTTACAGTATATTTATTATTATTATAATTAATTTAGTATTACAGTAATTATTATACTAATAGCTAATATTAATCTAATTATAATTATTATGATTAATATTATTAATATAACTTATTATATATTATATATTATATATTATATATTATATATTATATATTATATATTATATATTATATATTATATATTATATATTATATATTATATATTATATATTATATATTATATATTATATATTATATATTATATATTATATATTATATATTATATATTATATATTATATATTATATATTATATATTATATATTATATATTATATATTATATATTATATATTATATATTATATATTATATATTATATATTATATATTATATATTATATATTATATATTATATATTATATATTATATATTATATATTATATATTATATATTATATATTATATATTATATATTATATATTATATATTATATATTATATATTATATATTATATATTATATATTATATTATATAACTTATTATATATATATATATATTAATTATAAATTTCAAGGTATCGTTTGGGGTAAAAGTCGACGCCATGTTAGACAAGGATAACCCAATTGTCTTGAATGCCGTCAAACTGTTTGTCCGGGAGTTTCGGTCAATGTATCTGACGGTAATGTTTTTGCCGAAACTGGCCGAATATTTGCAACTAACCGTATTCGATGAGCCGGTTATTGAATTTTTTCACGATTTTACATTGAAAGTCATCGCCGATCGGCGAAATCAGATGAAACAAATAGGAGGTCACCATAAAAAACGGGTCGACTTTTTGCAGCTGATGTTGGATTCGGCCGATTGTAATAATAATGAATCCATGGATGATATGATGGACAATACCAACACCACTACCCATACAAACACCATGGATGACGAAAAGTATGGCGAATATGATAAGCAAACTACTAATAGTAATGTAACTAAAAAATGTATGAATTTTTTTGTGTTTGTATTGAAATACAGTATACTGTATATACTGTATATATGATATATAAAAAAAAAATATTTTTTTTTTAATTATAATATTTTTATTGTTTTTTTGTTGTTGTTATGTTTGAACAGATCTATCAAACGATGAACTAATAGCTTCGTGTGTCGTGTTTTTTGTGGCCGGCTTTGAGAATACGATGACTACTATATCGATAGTCACTTATATGTTGGCCGCAAATCCCGATTGTCAGCAACGGCTATACGAGGAAGTGGTCGATTATTTTCGGATCAATCAATCGGATCAATCGGACGTAAGGACTGTCTGTCTCTCTCTGTCTCTCTGTCTCTCTGTCTCTCTGTCTCTCTGTCTCTCTGTCTCTCTGTCTCTCTGTCTCTCTGTCTCTCTGTCTCTCTGTCTCTCTGTCTCTCTGTCTCTCTGTCTCTCTGTCTCTCTGTTATCTAACAATTATCTATAATATATTCTATATATATATATAGGAACTGGAGATTACTGACTACGAGGCCCTGAATTCAATGGAATACTTGGACTCAGTTATCAAAGAAACTCTACGACTGTATCCCAATTCACAGGCCTTGGAACGGGAAGCGGGAGAAGACTATCGATTGGGCGGTGGA